TTTTTGACGTCATGACAATGCCAAACTCGAGGAAAAAATCGTACTACCCCAGTGATTAACATTCGTCATCCCTACAACCGCAAAAGTTTAATAAAAGTGTACAAAACAAATGCCTTTCATTGTTATTTGGCAGAAGCATAAGATTGACTCAGAAGGATAAGTTAAAAGACTAGAAGACAGGGCAATTCAATGGCAATGAGGTGGTTCAAAGAGATTAAGGCGCCAGCGAAGCCGTCTTCTCCGCAATTGCATCCAACAACGGTTGCCGCTTATGGCGATATCGGATAGCCAAATTCCGCAGCTCAGTTTCCAAATCCCTCCCCAAGTTTACTAACAGTTGCTCCAATTCCGAGTAGGATAGTTTTGAAAGCCCTCCAGGTTCATTAGCCAAAGCAAGAGCGTTTGCATGACCAGGTGGAGGAGCTCCACCAGCTCCATCAAAGGGTGATAACCCCTGTTGTTGCTGATGGTGGAGAAGTGCACCACTCTCATGGAAAGCGCGTGAGAATGGGGCAAAGGGACGTTGACCGCTGGTGTGTGGGAGTAGATGATGGTGGGGAGATGGAGAGAGGGAGTCGGGTGCGGGAGTGGGGGAATTAGGCGATGGAATAGCGCCGCAGTCCCGTTGTGCTGCAGCTACTGCAGCAGCCACATTTTCACTGGATGGCGAAGAGGTAATAAAAATAAATGACAAAGTGACCCACAGTTTCAACTTTAACAATATCACAGCAGATTATGCTATACTAAACGGGTGTGAATGATACAATCGCAAACCAATGAATGTGTAAAAGTACGAAAGCACCTCACCTCTCTTTGGATCGATCGCCTACAACCATTTGACGGGCAAAATTTCGAGTCAGTGTGCCCGCATTTTCGGTCCCAAGGTCCTTATCTGCGATCAAGTCACCACCGTCGTCAATGTCATCATGGATGACAACTGAGCACTCTGTTTCGTCTTCGGTGCCAACATCCTCGTTAATAACCATCGTGGTCGTACCATCTGGACCCGAAGTTCCCCCTCCATCGCTTCGATTAAGAGAGATGAGGGTTCCACTAGCATCTTTCTTTAGGCTACACGTTCAGTTGATCAAAACATGGAAGACGTAGAACCTCTATTGTGCATGAAACGTCTAATCTCTTTAAATAATGATAATGAAGGCAAAATAGCGCACCCTGTCCCTTCATCCTTAACAATCATGCTAGAGGAGTCAGAACGCTGAATCATAGTGCCCGAATTGCTCGTCTCCTCCTCCACAATGTCGATCACCTCTTGTTGCCTCGCTCTGGCCTTGGTAGAGGCTTTTGCAAAGGGAGTTTGAGGGGACGTAGTAGACGCGACTGCTTTGGAGTCATTAAGACGCTTTTCACGCAAACGATTCGATTCTTCAATCAGCGGCCTGGTGGAACAAAATCAGTGAACGTGAAGGACTAAGTAACAAAGTTATTAAAAATAAAATCTCGCCCAATCTACAATTGCAGAGAATCAAACGCCCAAAAAATTATTACTATTCGAGAGATTACTTCCATCATTGAAAATAAATAGTCCCCACTACTCCAGTACTAGACAATGCAGGATGGCTCAGTTAGGTCAGCCAACCGAAACCCTATGTGTAGCCATCAGTACTTCCGCTGTAAAGGAATGGACGTACAGAAGGATGGAACAGGATTTTGCATCGCGAATGAAGTCTGTTTGCAGGAGGGCAGCTGCCGAGGGCCGCGCTTCGGGCGCACGAGATAGACAGGAGTTAACAAAGGCAACAAAATCTCCAGACCACGCCGTCTCGTCTCGTAGCCTGGGCGAAGGCTGACTGGGGATCATGAAGAGAGCCCGCATAGGATGTTCGTCACCTAGAGGTGGTTTTCCGTCTCCCATCTCTATTGCTGTTATGCCCAGTGACCAGATATCTGCTGAACAGTTGTAGCCCACTTCTTGGATAACCTGAGTGGAGGATAGTTAGTGAATAATTGCCTGATGGATTGGGAGAATCTCGACCCCTACGATCAATCAACAACAAAGTCTAGGTTGTTGCTGTAACCGAGATGTAGTGGTATTGTGAACACTTGTAGGTAAATCACTCTGGAACAACAACAGTATATTTCGCACCAGTCTAGTAGGGAGAAGAACGAAGCGATAAACCACAGACGAGAAGGGAATTAAATGTGGGTGCTAGAAGTTGAGTCAATCATGTATTCCATCATTTATAAACATGAATGGCAAAACTACCTCTGGAGCCATCCAAAATGGCGTGCCAATGACCGTATTGCGCTTGGCCAAAGTATCCACTAGTTGTCCGGCCACTCCAAAATCCGCCAACTTAGCCATTCCCGAGTTGGTAAGCAGTATGTTGCCAGCCTTAATATCTCGGTGGATTTTGCGCATCTACATAATAGAGGCAAAAATAAAGACGTTATTAACAGCTTTCATCCACAAAAGTGGTCGCCACATGCTAAAAACACACTGATACAATTTCTTTAAGCCATTTTTATCCATAAGATCCCCCTCTGGGTGGCTTTGCTAAAATCAACTAATGATATTGAAGAGGAACATGATGTAACTCCGGCGGGTTGAATAATGATGGTGAACTGGAAATAACAGTGTAGCTTCAACCAAAAAATTTATCCATTAGCCAAAAGCACAAGTTTCATCGCATAATTTGAAATGGTCGGCGTCTGTTGAGGTACATGCACAATCCCCGTCCAAATGAGAGAAATAATCTGACACCAAGTAATCATGTCTGGTGGACAAACGGTACCCTCACACCGTCTGTGTCACTTTTATGATGCCTGAACTAGGCACCTACTGCAATATAAAACATTCGTTCTAGAATGGGGGAGACAATTTTCCCTACTAAGTTCAACTTCATTTACAATTAAATCAGCGCATCCACGTCGTTCGTTGCGCCGCACATTTCAACTAATTGGAAGAATCGGTGCGCAGATGAGGGCTCCTATTGGCCAAATTGAGGGAGACAAAATAGACCTTTCGCCCTATAAAGAAGAGCAAACGCACCTGATGAAGGTAGTCTAATCCAAGGAGGCTGTATTTCAAAATAGTTCCGATTTCTTCCTCCGTGAGAGTTTGGTTGCGAAGACGCATAATGTCTGCGACAGAACCGGCACCACAGTATTCCATACAAATCCACAAGTCTTGGTTATCAAAGAGGCTACCGAAGCATTTGACGATGTAAGGGCTGTCGCATTGTTGCATGATGGATATCTCTTTCACTATTTCAGATAGATCGCTGTCTACGGGAACCTAGGAGGAAACAACTACGAATGCGTGTTTTAAAGATTCTCGATTTCATCCATTAAGAAATAAACTTTACCCACATACCCTTTCGAGTAATTTGAAATTGATTTTAAGGAGCAAGTAGCAAAGAAATATTCTTGACACCAAGTCAGTAGTCACCATGAACGGCCCTCTAGATGTTTGACATTTTGTTTGATGAACATTAACTGCCACAAAGAGGAACGTCTTAATAATTAAGCTAATTTGAACTTACTTTGTAAAGTGGTTCTAGATGTTAAGCTCACTTATCTCGTGCTGCTTAATAAAGCCAAAAATTCGAGATACCGTTTCTTGTGCTAGAGCTTTGAAAAAAAACGCACTTAGACACATTAAAACTAACTAAATCAAAGTGAGAACACCACCAAAACATAGAACCCCAAAATCAAAAATATGGAAAAACCTCAGTATAATGTGATGAAATCAAAGATATTACCTCAGTCTGCAGAAAACAAGTACGAGGACCATGGCTGATAGTTCAT